AGAGAGAGAGAGAGAGAGAGAGAGAGAGAGAGACAGAACCTGACATGGACTGTTGAAACCTCAAAGTCCACATACTTCCTCCAACAGGTGACAGCCCCAATCCTAAAACAGTTCCACTTACTGGTGGGGGACCAAACATTCAAGCGTATAAGCCCATGGGACCTTCTTATTCAATCTACCACGCAGTTGTTCACTGAGATATGGGTATGATTAATTTCACTGTGTGGGTTTTTAAATAGTTTTTATTCTTTTTTTTTTGGTTTGTTTTTGTTTGTTTTCGAGACAGGGTTTCTCTGTATAGTCCTGGCTGTCCTGGAACTCACTCTGTAGACCAGGCTGGCCTCGAACTCAGAAATCCACCTACCTCTGCCTCCCAAGTGCTGGGATTAAAGGCGTGCGCCACCACCGCCCGGCGTTTTTATTCTTTTTAATAAATTATATTAAAAATCATATATAGAGATAAATATTTTAATACCATTTGAAAGAAAAACTTACAGCTCAAGGAAGTGAACTTGTCTTATCTATTTAATAATCTAGAATTTAGGTTGTTATTGTGTGAGATCATGCTCTTGTCATGATGTGATATGCTTTTTTTAAAAAAAAATGTATGGGCCAGGTGTGTTGGGACATGTCTTTAATCCCAGCACTCAGAAAGCAAAGGAAGACAGACCTCACTGCGTTCAAAGACAGCCTGATCTACACACTAAGTTCCAGGACAGCTAGGACTACATAGAGAAATGCAGTCTCAAAACAAAACAAAACTACATAAAAACAATCTGCTTTAGATTCATGTGCGTGTATGTATGTGAAATGTGAAATGCATGTCTAGTGTCCATGGGGGTCAGAAGGCATTGGCTTTCCTGAAATTGGAGTTACAAATGTTAGCCACTATGTGAATGCTGGGAACCAAACCTAGGTCCTTTGCAAAAACATTCAAGTCCAAGCTGTGATGGGGCAAAGGTTCCTCCATCTTGTCTCAGCTACAGCCATCTTTGGTTTAACCTGAAACTGACTCTGCCTCACTTTCTACACCCCACCCTACCCCTGCCCCATAGCTAAGTACCCAACCCTGTTCTAGAAATGCCCCCAACAAATAGCATGCTTTGGCTTCTGTTAAACTGCTTACTTGCATGCTTTCTTCCTTTGCTTTCTTCCTTCTGCCGAATGCTCTATGAGAAGTGTTTCTCTCCAGGTAGTCTCCATCTGGTCTAATATAGACTCTCAATTCAGACTTTAGTTGTGCTAGATGGTTTTTGGGTCTCTACCCTGCAACACCAGTAGCCTCTGAACCACTATTCCAGCCCTGAAATGCTTGTAATCTTAACACTTGGGAGGCTAAGGTAACGTGGGAATAAGTTAGATCCCATCTCCATGGCTTATAGAATAATTCTGATCTGGCAATAAATATGCAGCTTCTATATCAACAAATTGCAGCTATAAGCTTAGGTCAATCAGGACTAATCTCAGCTGCACAAGTTGCAAATAAATTTTTACAGACTCTGACATCTGTAAAAATGTCATCTTTTGTCTTGAGACAGAACTTTTGGTCTTTTATTATTAATTTGGGAATAACTCGGAGTTGTTCTAATTTTAACTCTTGTTCTTCCAGTCATCTTTCAAAGACTAAAAAACACCCTACATGCCACACAACGAGATCTGCAAACCTTTAAGTTGACATATCAGAAAGGGGGAAATGCAGTCCACTGGAAATTGAACCTGTAACCCTGCACAGCTGTTTGGCAGTTCCGGAAGGCTGAGCCGAATGTTGCCATTGCTGTCATTCTGTCTCTCACTTTTAGGTTTTGTTCTCTGCATTCTTGGGAACTTTCTGTATTATGATTTATTCTATGTCCTTTCCTGAGAAAATTATGCCTGAGTCTTTTTAGCAAAGTCCTAAACTTACTAACCCTTCTTTTAGTGAAATAACTTTATCTGGTCCTATTTGGAAGCCTTCTTTATGCCCTGGATATTGTGATAAGCATCAAGACACTAGAAATTTCTTTATGAGGCCATGACTCCAGATTCTTCTTGGTGTATCTGCCCCTAAGCAAACTCAAACAGTATAATTGGAACAGGGTAAACTTAGCTGACAAACTCTGAGAAGCCAGGAGAACTAGCAATCGATCAAAGGACTCCTTCTACAATAGAGCTTAGAGCTCTGTGAAAATGTACTTTAAAGATAGGGAGTTGTATGAGGTATGCCCTGAGAGGAGTAGAACACAGTAATAAAAACAAGTCAATTAAAATAACCTTTCTAATACTAGAAATGATGAAAGTATTTAAGTAAAAAGAATTAGGTGTCAGGATTTGCCATCCATAAAAGGATTGGCTCAGATATTTTCTATTTGTCTGGAGTGCTTTGACATCGCAATTGCTGCCAGTCTAAAAACAGGCTGTCATATATTAAACATGTTTGCTTTGGCAGAAATAGTCTTTAAAATGGAGTTATAGGTCTGATAATAAAAATGAAATCTGTTCTATCTGTACTTGTTGACTGTAATTGAACCTGTAACCCTGGACATGCAATGAAAAATCAAACACATGTCCAGAGACAAAATAATATGATCTGTACTTATTGGGAAGTCATGTCTGTCTTTAAGAAATCTGTATAAATAAAGCAGCAGCCTAGTTGCTAGTCAGTCAGAACTGCAAGGTTCCCCGACCACCATGCCTAACTCCATCCTCCCTCACCGACTCGACTCCTTATCTCTCTCCGGGATCTGTCAACTGCTGGGGCTGGCCGACAGCAGCCATGGGTTCAAGGGTACCCCGGGCTACAGAAGCCACACTTCAGAAATAAACAGACAAAAACAAAAACCCCCCAAAAAACAAAAAAAATAAGAAAGTAAACTAGTAACAACAACAAACCCCTGAAACCTGGGGCTAGAGAGATTGCTTAGTACTTACTGCTCTTGCAGAGGACCTGGATTCAATCCTCAGTACCCATATGGCTAACAACTGTTTGTAACTCCAGTTCCAGAGGATCCAACATCCTCTTATAGTTTCCACAGTACTAGGCGTGCATGAGGTACACTGACATATACAGCCAAGATATCCATGTACATAAAATAAAAATAAATCTTAACTCAGACTTATACTACCCAAAAACAGAAATAAAAATTATACCCTAGTTAGGAAGCAGTTTACCTAGACCAGTGGTTCTCAAATCTTAATATGTATTCTGATTTGATGGAGGTTACAAAACACATTGCTGGTAGCTATACTATCCCATCTGTTTGAATACATGGAGATGGGTTTTGTCACGGTCTGTTCCTTGAACATGGCAGGCTGGTGTCCTCTGGCCCCTTGGCAGCACTGGGAGAAAACACGATGCAGAGTGGCAGCATTTGGGGACATGTATGACCATCAGAAAAGGTATCCAATGCTAATCAAGACAAAGACTGCCTACTATACATATTTCCTGTGACATCCTGATACTTGTACTATAACAGGATGAAGTTTTTACAAAATGGGTTGGCAAGACGGCTCAGGTCAAGGCAGTTGCAAACATCCCTGCTAACCTAAGTCTGGTCCTCAGAAAACAAAGGACACAATCGACTCTAGCCAAGTTGTCTTCTTATTCTCAAGCACGTACTGCTCGCCCCCCTCCCACCCACCCACACCCACACACATGTAAAGACATATTTACTTTATATGTCAATTTTACTTAAACCAGGACTGTTGAATACAACTATTTTTGTTTTTAAAAAAGGTCATATATAGCTGTCATAATCACAAGTAATCCCAGGGCTAAGGAGGTAGAGTAGAGGCAGGCAGATCAATAGGGTTCACTGGCCTAGCTTAATTTACAAGCTTCAGGCCAATGAGAAACCTTCAAACAAAAAACTAAGGTGGCTGCCCCCTGAAGAATAAAAGCTGAGGTTGTCCTCTGGGACATACAGATACAAACACAGATACACCATGAGATGCTTGTCTCATTAATACGGCAGTGGCTATTACTAATAATTGTTTTAGACAGAGTTTCACCATGTAGCCCTGGCTGTCATGGAACACATTACATAGACCAGGCTGGCCCTGAACTC